CCCCTGCCCTTCCCTTCTTGTTCTCACTCAGCTGTAGACACCATTTTAGACACATGCTTTCAGCAGGCTGTTTATGACTTTGCTCCACTTCTGAGCCCTGGGTTCAGCGCAAGCCTTCACAGAGTTATTTATTGGCTTTTAGTTGTGAGACTAAAGTTGGCTGCATGCCTTTCCTCCACAGCAATGGTGGTGTCTACCCATCAAGGGATTCTCTCACCCTCATGACTTAAATCAGGCATGTGGACAATGGAACTAGAGGGCAGGCCAGCACCCATTGTCATGAAATAGCGTTTCTGGATTCCCCAGATACCTCAGATTCAGGCACGTGGACTTCAGTCTCCATTCCATAGTGTCTGCTCTTAATTCTTTGTGTACTCCTCATAGCTGCTTTTTAACTAGAGAAGAATTTTCAGCTTCCCTTGTAGAGCTGATGGGGAAGAGAGAAACTGGATCGAAACTGCAAAGGGTATGATCGTCCACAGTTGGTGCTCCCTACTGAATCTCTTTTGGACTCTGGCATTACAGAATTTTTGCTCTTGGAAAGGGAACTGTAATCATTGGTGTAGGACATCCCCTTCTTTGGGGTGTCGGGCATGATCTGTCCCAAACTTACAGCGATAATAAAGGTTCATTTTTGTTTTTTGTAAAATAACAAACATGGTATACTTAGCTGCTCTGTGTAGTGATTTTGAACAGAGCAGCCTGGATCTGTCTCTTCTTGGGTCCCCCGCAAGCTCTCCTGGCTCCTTCTTTCTGTCAGGTGACCCCACAGCAAGCAGCTTGCTATGGGGGCACCCGTTGCTCCGAGTGCCCATTCACACATGGGGACATAGCTTGGCTCCACCCCCCCTCCTCATTTGCTGACTGGCTGTGATTGACAGCAGCGGGAGACAATGGCTCCCGCTTGCTGTCTCAGCCAATGAGGAGGCAGAGACCCGGGACAGCTGAGGCTGTCATCCACATCGCTGGATTTTGATGGGGCTCAGGTAAGTATTGAGGGGGCTGGGGGGGAATGCATAAAGGTAAAAAACCTTGAACCTTTACAACCACTATAAGAAAACATGATTTTGATGTTCCCAATACATACTTATTTAAAGTTGGAACCACCCACTGATCCTAAAGTTACCAGTATAGGGTCTCTTAACAAATCCAAAAAGCTAGCTAAGGCTTTTCCAATCCATCCACTTATATAGGCTCTGCTGTATGATGACTGGCTCCAGCCAGGCAGTGTATGTCCCTCCTAAGTGTTTTGCTCAGCAATGCCCTGTGCAAGAATATTATTACAAAAAGTGGTAAGTTCTAGTGGTACACCGAAATGAAAATTCTGGTGCTGAAACCGAAAACAAAAATTCAAAATGCACTTGGCCTAAAACCAAAATGCGTGGTTTTTAAAAATGAATATATATTTTTTATGGAAAAAAATACACTTTGATTAAAAAAAAGCAAAAACAATATATACCTCCAATGTTTTTCTAAAAATATGAAAGAGGATGTTACAGCGAGTAAATAGATACCAAACATGCCACACTTTAAAATTGTGCATGCTTGTGGAATGGCGTGAAACTGCGGTACTTTAAAAATCTCCATGGGTGATACTTTAAAAATTTCTACAGGTTTAGCAGTGTAACGTTACAGAGGAGGTCTAGTGCAAGAATTATTGCTCTTGCTCTGACGTTCGCGGCAATACCTCACGTGTGTGGTTTGAACAGCATTTACATATGTGGGCGTGGCCTGCATTATGCGTTCACCACTACAGAGGGACGGGGGCACTTTAAAATTAATTTTTTTTTTTTTAAAAAAGGGACAGTGCTTAAAAAAACAAAGTTTTATCACATTTATTAACACAAGAAATGAATGCATCCCTTGTGATAGAAATAATTAGTGACAGGTCCTCTTTATGGAGAGTGTGAGGTCAATAAGACCCCACATCTCTCTTCTGCAATGTAAAGCATTGGATGAAAAAAAAAACCATTGATCTAGTGCTTTAAGAAAAAAAAAATGGCCGGAACCCGGAAGTGACATCGCTCCGGTTCTCCAAGGGCATAGAGATGAGTGGAGGCCATCTTTCCTTCACTAATCTCTATGCCCTGCATCGGGATCGTTCTATGGTTTCTCAGCTGAGACTGAGAACTACCAAGTGGTGGTGGCGAGGGGTGGTTTTTTTTCGGCACCTGTATCGGTGCTTTTTTTTTTTTTTTTTTTTTTTTTTCCCATATCAGCCGACGGCTGAAAGGGGTGTTTTTAGCCGAAACTTTTCGGACACCGAAATTTCGATGCATCCCTAGTAGTTCCAGTGGTAGGTCCAGCTATTTCTTGCCTCAGCAGATCTGACTGTTCTGGTTGGGAACATCTTGGACATCAAGTACCGAGTGGTGTGTTTTTTTTTTTTTTTTTTTTTTTTTTTTTTTTATTCTGTTTTGGTCTTTTTTAGGCTTGTTCATGTGACTGACAGTAGTCTCTGTGGCCATTTGTTAGACCCTTGCAGGCTGGGCCAATTGTCTTCAGTCTTCAAAAAGTTTGGGCTCACCCGAGCAGGTTTATGCTGTTATGTGGGTATGGCATACTCTGTGCCACAATTCTCATCTGGCTCCTAATAGTCGTAAGGTGAAGGATTTTGTGGCCGAGGTGCTGGTCTGCAGAGGCGGTCCCCAAGAGGCGCCTGGAAAGAATTCTTCATGACAAGGAATGACTCTAAAAATTGTGTCTTTTTTTTTTTGTGTTTTTTTTTAAAGTCCTCCACTTCTAAGAACAAATCCTCCACAGTTCTGTCACAAGTCCTAAACTTTCAAACCAGCCAAGTCCTGATTCCAAGCCCACCTTGTAATCAGGGGATGCTCTTCTCCAAGGTGAGAGATGTCTTGGCCTTCTCATGGACTCCAGGCATTTTGGATATTCGGGTCAAAAGACTATTTCGTTTTAGGGGTTAAGACTGGAATTTCAGTCTTTACCTACCTGTAAATCTTCCCTCTTCTGCGTTGAGGTTGTGGGATTTTCACACTGCCTTGTGGAAACTTCATCCTTTGGGAGGGATTGTTCCAGTTCCCTCAGAGTAATCAGCCCTGTCTGTAATCACATCACTTCAACAAAGGGAATTATTTGCATCAGTAGACATCAAGGACAGGGGGCTTTTGGAGGAGAGTGCAGGCTAGCCTCTTGCCTACTGACCATGGCCCTCACATCTGAGGTGCTTTTTCCTTTGGGAGGTGTGTCGGCGAGGACCTTTTGGAGTAATTTATCTCAGATTTAAGTCGGTCTTCCCAAAACAGGACCAGAATACAGATTTGGGGTCTCTGTACCCAAACCAGCATTGACTGCTGGACTTAGTCTTTAAGAAGATATAATCAGCTCAAAACAACCTCATGCTGAGGACTCTGTCTGTTTCTGTCTGTCTGCTAGTCTTCCTGGAGTTGTGATTAGTATTATGTCCACTTTACCTTGATACCAAACTGTTGTGGGATGTTTATGCTTGCGTATAATATTTGTTTTTATTGTTCATGTGGGGACGGCCCCTATTCCTGAAGTGTATAAAAATCTGTATCTCTGTTCAATAAAGTAGTTTCAGTTGCACCTGATCTAGTGTCATCTAGTTCTTAGGTGCAGTGCCCAGCTATAATACCTTGGTCCTGTGTCCCAGCGGCGAGGAAGCAGTTCTCTGATAGAGGCACCCAGGTCTTGGGTGCCAGGTGTTCCGTCACATTTGGTGGCCAGCGGTGGGATGCGCTTCCTCCCTATGGGCTGTCCAAACCACCACCGGGACCCAAGTTTAGGACCTTCTCTTGGTTGACTTTATTCATAACACAGTATTTCTCTTGACTATCATGTCGGTATGACATTTCTCGAAGTTGAAGGCTCTGTCTTGTAGAGAACCTGTCTTTTTTTTTTTTTTTTTTTTTTTTTTTTTTGTTCAAAGGGAAAAAGGGGTTTTGATGCCTCAGACCCCTTTCTTCCGCTATAATTCAGGACTTCGCCCTGCTTTCTTTGTACTGCTCCTAAATATCCCAAAGAGGCTTCCTGTCCACTGTTTGAACAAGGTGAGTGCAGTGTGGGTTTACCTCTTGGCTACTGCCCTCTCAGTCATTCAGTTCCCTTTGTTCTGTCTGAGGGCACACAAAGGGGTGCCCTGCAGCTCGTTCACCATTAAGCAGGTCATTGCTAAAGCTTATATTTGAAACATGGTTCCTCCCCTTTTGTAGTCTCTTGACTAGGTCTGTCAATGCCTATTGGGGTTGTCAGCACCTAGCCTTGTCTTCAGATCACATCTTTGTGTGAAGTTTTCCCAGGTGAATATTGAGGGCTTTGCTGACCCAGCTTTGGTCATAAGTTGATTCAAGCACCGCTTAGAGTTCAGGACCAGATTCCTTTGTCATTTCTATTGTGGCTCTGTTTACAGGAACCTCTGTCCTGTACTGTATGTGTAAGAAAATGTGATTTTTGACTTGCTTGTAAAACCCTTTTCTTGGCAGTGTATACAGTAATGGACACAGACCATCTTCCCCTCTGTCCTAGTGCTTTCCTTACTGCTTGTTACAAAATTGAATTGTTGGAAGTAGGGGGCTTGTATGGGTTATTCCAAAGTTCTGTTTGCCAGTGTCCAAGCACTTGAAGGTGGCCAAATGTAACCCAGTATCTACTATTAACAGAGCCTGAGTCCTGAACTGTACTACCAAGAAAAGGATTTTACAGGGAAGGCAAAAATCCTCATTTCATCTTTGGATGGTGTCGAAGGATGTGAACGTCTTGTGATTTATAAATCCTGTCCTTTCACTGCCTTTCCTTGTGACCATACAGGAACCGTAATATCTCCCAGACAGAGTAACGGCAAGAAAAATTCAAGAATCGACTAACACTTCCCTATTAAAAGCACTCAACCTTGCAAGACTGTTCTGTGTTGTTTTTAGCTTATTATATACAGTGTGTGTATATATTTTTTGTGAGGGTATTTATATACTTTTGTATGCCACTTCTATTTATAATTTTTTTTTTTTTTACTTGTTTTACAGTGTTACATTAGCAATATATTACCATATAAAGAACAGGTATGACATTTCAATTACTTTTTATGTATTTGTTCTGCAACCTTCCTCCTGTACCAGTTTGTGCGATGCTAAACATGATTCACGTGCTTCAAAGAATAAAACGGGCATTCAACACTTCTGTTCCTTTACAGACTTTATCACCTACGCTAATAGTTTTACTGAAAAAAAAGCAAAATAAGTGTATGACTAATATGTGACCTTCTATCCAGCTAGCAGGTAGAATTCGACTTTTTTTTTCACACTTTCCTTCATATCCTTGGTTCTGTGGTCATTCGCTCTAGTTAATATGTACAGTCACAGGTGTATAAGTCAAAGATCTGAGTTATTCCCCTCAGACAGCTGTGTTTGAAAATACTGTCAATAGTAAGACAAAGCCAGCTCCAAAGGCAGCATATGCTCTGCGGTCTCTTTAGGCTAGGTTCACACCTGAGCGGCCATGCGGGTCACGATTTGCACGGGCATGAGAGCCCATTCATTTCAATGGGCTGCTGTGCCCTGGGACATGCGGGAAAGTAGTCCCTGCACTATTTTGAAATTGCAGCCTGCATGGGAACTGAGCTTCCCAGTACAGTTAGAATTTCCAATGCGGGCGGCGTGTCATTAGGCTTAATGGCTCCTGCCTGTGGGTCCCACATTTCTCTGTGTGGGTGGTTGTGGCTGCCTGTATTTGTGCGGGTCCCGAAGCAACTCCACCTGCACAGATGTGAACCTAGCCTTGGATAACCCTCAGTGCTTTAGGCATCCGTTGTCATTTTTTGTTTGTAAAATAAACAGATCTATAGTGAATGAAGCCGATATAAATAATTTGTTTTAAAAACTGTATGTTTGGCTGAAAAATATCCAAAGAACCACTACAGTTTTCCCTTTTAAATGGACAGGTGTACTTTAGGACATGGTCTTAAATGCTTTACTCATTGCCTAAGCTGCAGTATGCCCAATTACACACCATATCTCCACTGCTGGTAAGTGTCACTGGGCTGAACATCCTGCACTAAAATCTATGAACACTGTACCCAACCCATCACAGATAATGTGCCACAGTGAAAAGTGACAGTCCCTTTCTGCCTTTGAGAAATATTTGGTCTGTTTTTCATTTTCTGGATGTGCTACCCGATTGTGTCAGCCTTCAGTATTTTAAGAACTTTTAGAAACCAGGACAGGCATATGAAATAAAGACCTCCAATCTACATACTTGTTCTAGGACTGTAAATCAAAGTGGTGAAGACCTTGTATCAGCATAACAGACAGGTAAAATATACAGAAGGTGAGGTTAGAAATGGCAGTCACCACTTTTTTTTCCCTGTAAAGTATAGCAGTCTGCTGGACTATGCAACAAAGTGTGCTTATGGAACCTGCTGTCTCCCTATATGGCAGTTCCCTATGGTTCTTTACATTTGCCTTAAAAGGGGATGAAAGCGTGCACAAACCTTGCGCATTACCTTTATAAATAATGACACTAAACAGGCTGAAATGCTGTAATACTGACCCTCAGTGGCTGAATGTCTCCTTGCTATGGGAACTCTGCTATACTGAAGTTTCTATCTGCCAAACCCAGCTCTGATGAAGAAGGGAGCACCCTTCGAATTGCGTTAGCTTTTATCCCCCCTTTTGGATTTACCTGTAACCCTGTGTGGATTATAGTTAACTTATGCCTGTTTTACTGTCACGTTTGTGAGTATATTTCCTAAGTAAAATAAAATCATTATTTGAGGTAATGCGCAAGTTTTTTGCGCTCTTTCTTTCATCCCCTTTTACAGTTCTATCAAGCTTCCCCAGCTTCATGATTGAGCTGCACAACCTCTGATCACCAGCGGATGAACACGCTGTTTGTTAATAATGCCCGTTTGATCTGAGTCTTTGAGCGCAGGAGATAATGGATCTTCACATTTGCCAGCCTGTGCACTAAATTTTGGTGGACCTGCCCTTTAATATATAATTAGCACTTAGAAATATAGTCATTTTTGCCCAGTAATGACGTCTTTCATAAGTTGAAAAAAAAAGTTTTGCCATTAATACTACATAGGTAGAGATTTAAAATTATTCTCCATTTTTCCATGAAAGTATCTACTTGAATAAAGCCACCTCTCACAGCATCTGATTTGTCAGTCTGTCCACTTTGTGATTATTTGGGTACACATGTTCCCTCCTTTGAGAGAACACAAAAGTTCCTGTCTGAACTTTTGCTCATAATGCATCTTAACCTGTTCCTACCCGGCCTATAGTACAATGACGGCTGGTCAGGACTTTCTTCAATCCGGAAGGACATCATATGACGCCCTCCCAGATCGCCACCTCGCATGGGGCCGTGTTGCAGCGAGATCTGTCACCAGCTGTGTCCATCGGAATCCTCTCCCTTCACCCTCTGTCACAATTTAAAAACAGCGTGGCTCCACCCACAGCCACATCATTCAACCACAGTGATCTGTAGATGAACTACAAGTCCCATCTTTCATCGCAGCAGATGGCTTGTAGCTCATTGACGTCCTGCAGCTAAGTAACTTCCTGCCCATATGGAGGTACGGGTAGACAGCTGTCAGGAGTGTCTACAGGAGCCTGACATTGTACCCTCGATCTTCTGATTGCGGGTCCAATGGTTTGCATGCTCAGTGGTAAAAATAAATAAATAATGCACTTTTTTTTTTTTCTTCCTACTTTGGTATAGGATGTTCCTTTTCTGTGCTCATGTATAATGTTTTTTTAGTTCCTCGAGAAGTTCAGTTATACACGTTATCTAATTTTATGCAAATATTCAGATACTTATGAATATAATTATCTCATCAGGCATTGATAACAATTCAGACATGGTTTTTTATATTTATATGTATATGTTTTTAGCTTGGCATATTATTTTTCAGGGATTCTGATAGATCCTTGGATATATTTGATGAAAAACTACATCCTTTAACAGTAAGTTCTTGCTTCTTTGGCTGTTTGTAGTGTTTTTTTATTTTTAAGTGTTACTAAACCCACATCAGTAAAATCAGTCATTAAATGCAGTAAAGCATGCTTGATATACCCACTGTGGAACCTAAGGGGTTAATCCTCTCCATTGTGTACAAAGCTGTTTGATCCCTTCTTCTCTGATCCTCATCTTCCAGTGCACCCCTCTTATCTTCTGATAAGACCTATTGTGTGGAGACACTGTGCATGTGCTCAGTTTGGTATGTATTGCTAAAGAGGGGTTTTTTTTTCTTTTTTGGGAGAGTACATGTGATCTGCACAGGGCCAATCAGTGCTATTCAGACCGAGGTCAGGGGTTCTGCATCCTAGAGCAGAAAGAAAATTCCTACAAGCTTTAACCAATACTCGGCTAGACACTGATAGAAGTCACAAGACTGCTATATACTGCTGATGAGAAAAGGTATTTAGCAGTTTATATTTACTAAAATAATAGCATTTCCATGTTTTGTGTACTGTGGGAGACCAGATATAGTGAATGCAGGGTCCTGGGTTTAGTAACTCTTTAACTTATTACTAGATTTATAAAACATTGGGTGCAGCATAATTCAGAAAGGCTTAATAAAATGTGTGTTTAGCTTTGTGTCTGTGCCCTTATTAGGTAGATTCACTCCTCCATTTGTCCCAGTGATTTTTAGCACTGAGCGTGAAAGTAAAGGGAATCCCAAAATTTTGCTCTCGCCAGAAGAGTAAAGAGGAAATCTAACAACAGGGACACTGGTTCTGCTGACCTTGGTGACAACCAGAGATGCCCTTCTTGTTTTGGCTGTGGGACATATAGTGAAGGGAAATCTACCCTATGGGACACAGATGGCAATAAAAAGAAAAAAAATCCTCCTTTTAACCAAAAGTGAAAAAGTTGCCTTTTTAGTTATACAATTTTTACATTTCTTCTATGGGCATGTTTATTTGTCATTATTTCAAAGTAACAAAAGTTTTCTTGTTTGTTTTGGATACAATGGAGAGGAATTAGATCACCTGTTTGTTTTTATTGCTGTTTTTTGCCCCATTAAATTTAAAAAGATTGATTCTATTTTGCCTGTTTATTATTTACTATTATAAATGAAAGTGGAAGTAAAAATTCAGAATTTTGGGTTGACATCAGAACAATATTAGACAAGGAGATCTTCCAGTGGGGATATTAGTTGTGGTGACACTCGGGATTTCCCTCAGTTAGGAGGGATTTCCTCTCACTATCTGTTTTAGCTATGTTACTGGAAGAGAGGGGAAATCTCCCCAATGGGTCACAGGTGGAAAACTTAAAAAAAAAAAAAAGCTTCTCTTCAACTTTGATCAGTGTTAAAAATAAATGTCCTGTATACAATGGCACTAAATTATAACTCTAGTACAAAACATTTCCAATGTTGTACTTTTTTAACGAAGCACTAAAAAATTTAGTGAGCACACCAAATAAAAATGAAGAAAAGTTTAAATATTAGTAGTTAAAAAATAGAAGTAAAAATAAAATCAGAAAAATAAAATAGGAACAAATTTAACTTTTAAAAACTTGTCAGATTGCTTTAACATAAGTAGATTGAAAGCTCCTCCCTTTTTATTTGAAGATTAATAAAGCATACCGTGCATCCAGAAAGTATTCACAGCGCTCAACTTTTGCCACATTTTGTTATGTTACAATCTTATTCTAAAATGGATTAAATTCATTTTTTCCTCAACACTCTATCGGATGCTGTGGTCATTGGGACCTTCAATGCTGCATAAATTTTTCTGTACCCTTCCCCAGATCTGTGCCTTGATACAATCCTGTCTCGAAAGTCTACGGACAATTCATGGCTTGGTTGTTTTGTGACATGCACTGCTAACTGTGGGACTTTATATAGACAGGTTTATGCCTTTCTTAATCATGTTCAATCAACGGAATCTCCCACAGGTGGACTCCAATAAAGTTTTGGAAACATCTCAAGGATGATCAGTGGGAACAGGATACACCAGAGATCAATTTTGATTGTCATGGCAAAGGCTGTGAATACTTGTGTACATGGGTTTTTTTTTTTCCGTTTTTTATTTTCAATAAATTGCAAAGATTTCAAAACTAACTTCTTTCATGTTGTCGTTAATGGGGTATTGTTTGTAGAATGTTGAGGAAAAAAATTTATTTAATCCATTTTGGAATAAGGCTGTAACATGTGGCAAAAGTTAAGTGCGGTGAATACTTTCTGGATGCACTGTAATGTTAGATGGTGTGTTTTTTGTTTGTTTTGTGTTTTTTGATGGCTGTAATAGCTAATGTACTAATGCTGGCCATGCAATAGACGAACACTCGGTCATGAGAGTAAATGATAGTGCCATCATTTAATGACGGAATTTCGAACGATAAATCAGATATAAATCCATTTTTTGTTAATTTTATCACTGGTGCACAGTTCCCCCCTTTTTTTAATTTTTTTTTTTTTTATTATTCTGTTCCTTAAAAATATTTATTTTTTGGCTTTAAAAATAAATATATTTTCTATTTGTACTCATTAACTAAACAAAAAATGAACGGTCCAAATGATAGTTTATCAAACGATTTTTCATCTAGTGTATGGGCACCATAACACATCAACCCCTAATTGTGTGCATAGGATACTACACAGTTCCTGTGTACTTCAAAGTACTCTAGTTAAGGATCATGTTCTACCTGAGCTTTTTATTTCTAAAGCTCAGACATCTTCTGTATACCCTGTATGAACAGATGACTAAGAGCATTAAATTATTGTACTCGTATAAGTTTTATTGGCCAAGAGTGCAGACCTCAGCCAAAACTTCAAATGGTACGGGTATCATTTGTTAGACATGCCTTAAAAGTACAATATAACGTTTTCACTACTCTGTTGATTATGTGACCTTGGAATAACCAAACATTTGAGAAATTTCTTGCTAGAGGTGTTTTTTTTTTTCCACTTGCAGTGTCAGACTGCATAGTTGTTATATGAACTAACCCTAGTATAGCTAGCAGTACCTCAGTATAGAGGCTGTTGTTAAGCTCTTTGTTTCCTGTTTCATATCACACATCTCTAGCAACCCCTAGATAACCGCTTTAAAAAGGGGGGTAAAAATTTAACTTTACCCCTCAGAGGTTGGATCTGCAATGCTGTGCACAGTACATCTGCCCAGATGCATAAACATCGTTGCTGCATCCGCTGTTCTGAGGTCAGCCAATAAGAAACAAAATTACTCCAGCAAACAAGGAAATGAGTGATGATGCCTTGAAACAATGATATAATGTCTAGATACAATTTGATGGCATTGCAGGTTTACTTATTGTACACAGGCATAAAAGACCTGACTTTTGAAAGTAAAGTCATTATTTATGCAGTTTTCGCACCTGCTATCCAGGTATTGCTTGAGCCTGGGTTCACACTGATGCTGTGCGGCACATCGTATTTGATTCGCACAGGAACCGCACCTCATTCCTGTGCAAATCACATGCAGGACCCTTTTTTTTTGGTCTGCACCAGAATCAGATCGCATGGGTATTCACACACATGTGATCCAATTCTGCACATCGCACCGCGTTTGGTGAACCAGTTTCGAGGTGTCACTAACATACACCCCTGCAGCATTCGCAGGAACTGGGCGCTGATCATGATGCGTGCAGAAATTGCACAGAGACTGGTGTGAACCGGGGCTGAAAGCTGTAATCGGGAACAGGAAACACAAAGACTATATGGCAGTCTTTATGCCCAGGTACGTTTAGACAGGGTATTGAGGACACTGGTGTGGGTCACTTTAACGTGTAGCTTTCTATGTTGTTCCGAGATGGACCTGAAATCTGGCCTGTCAATCTTCTGATATATCCACTTTGTTTTCCCTGTTCTGTAATGTTAGGATCAGCCCTTTTACGTTTGTGAATTACTGTCATATTCTGATTTGAAGCATGAATATTAATTCCCTTGAATTTACCACTAGTCTGATTTTTGTTTTCTAAACTCTACATTGCATGATAGCAGTTTTTACTTTTTTTTTTTTTTCTTTCAGCGTGAAGAAGTATCAGATGACTACTGTAAACATGACCCGGATCATAAGCACATTTACCGATTTGTTCGAACTCTGTTCAGTGCGGCCCAGCTCACAGCTGAGTGTGCAATAGTCACTTTAGTAAGTGTTTTTAGCTCGTGTTTTTAACAGGTAGAAATGAAAGAACCTGTGCAAAGGATAAAAAAATGACTTGCATCAGACCAGTTCACAGCTGGTGATTACCTGATGTAAATTTCAAGACGATCTGTGCATAATACATTTGGGATTGTGTTTTTTCTTGTGGTTTCTCCTCCAGGTCAGATTGATGGTGATACATTCTTTGCTTCTGCTGTGTGATGAGACACCTAATTAATCAGTGGAAAGCCTCACGCCCTTAACTGTGTTTGCTGCTAGTGATATGGAGTTGTGTGTGTATATGTATGTATGTATGTATATATATATATATGTATGTGTGTGTGTATGTATATGTGTGTGTGTATGTGTGTATGTATGTGTATATATATATATATATATATATATATATATATATATATATATATCACACTATCTCACAGAAGTGAGTACACCCTTCACATTTTTGTAAATATTTTTCCATGTGACAACACTGAAGAAATTACACTTTGCTACAATGTAAAGTAGTTAGTGTACAGCTTGTATAACAGTGTAAATTTGCTGTCCCCTCAAAATAACTCAACACACAGTCATTAATGTTTAAACGGCTGGCAACAAAAGTGAGTACACCCCTAAGTGAAAATATCCATATTGGGCCCAAAGTGTCAATATTTTGTGTGGCCACCATTATTTTCCAGCACTCCCTTTTACCCTCTTGGGCATGGAGTTCACCAGAGCTTCACAAGTTCCCACTGGATTCCTCTTCCACTCCTCCATGATGATATCACAGAGCTGGTGGATGTTAGAGACCTTGCAGTCCTCCACCTTCCATTTGAGGATGCCCCACAGATGCTCAATATTGTCTAGGTCTGGAGACATGCTTTGCCAATCCAGCACCTTTACCCTAAGCTTCTTTAGCAAGGCGGTGGCCATCTTGGAGGTGTGTTTGGGGTCGTTATGTTGGAATACTGCCCTGCGGCCCAGTCTCCAAAGGGAGGGGATCATGCTCTGCTTCAGTATGTCACAGTACATGTTGGCATTCGTGGTTCCCTCAATGAACTGTAGCTCCCTAGTGCCGGCAGCACTCATGCAGCCCCAGACCATGACACTCCCACCATCATGCTTGACTGTAGGCAAGACACACTTGTCTTTGTACTCCTCACCTGGTTGCCGCCACACATGTTTGACACCATCTGAACCAAATAAGTTTATCTTGGTCTCCTCAGACCACAAGACATGGTTCCAGTGATCCATGTCCTTAGTCTGCCTATCTTCTGCAAACTGTTTGCAGGCTTTCTTGTGCATCATCTTTAGAGGAGGCTTCCTTATGGGACGACAGCCATGCAGACCAATTTGATGAAGTGTGCGGACTGCGGTCTGAACATTTCCAGGCTGACACCCCCACCTTTCCACCTCTGCAGCAATGCTGGCAGTACTTATACTTCTATTTCCCAATGGCAACCTCTGGATATGATGCTAAGTGCGTACACTCAGCTTCTTTGATCAACCATGGCGAGGACTGTTCTGAGTGGAATCTGTCCTGTTAAACCGCTGTGTGGTCTTGGCCACCGTGCTGCAGCTCAGTTTCAGGGTCTTGGCAATCTTCTTATAGCATATGCCATCTTTATGTAGCGCAACAATTATTTTTTTCAGATCCTCAGAGAAATATCTGCCATGAGGTGCCATGGTGAACTTCCAGTGACCGGTATGAGAGAGCGATAACACAAAATTTAACATACCTGCTCCCCATTCACACCCGAGACCTTTTAACACTAACGAGTCAAATGACACCAGGGAGGGAAAATGGCTAATTGGACCCAATTTTGACATTTTAATTTGGGGGTGTACTCACTTTTGTTGCCAGCGATTTAGACATTATTGGCTGTGTGTTGAGTTATTTTGAGGGGACAGCAAATTTACTTTGTGCGTGTGTGTACTGCTCAAAAAAAATTAAAGGAATACTTTTTTAATCAGAGTATAGCATCAAGTCAGTTAAACTCCTGGGATATTGATCTGGTCAGCTTAGTAGAGGGAGTTGTTAATCGGTTTCAGCTGTTTTGGTGTTAATGAAATTAACAGGTGCACTAGATGAGCAACAATGAGATGACCCCCAAAACAGGAATGGTTTTACAGGTGGAGGCCACTGATACTTTTTTTCCCTATTCATGTTTTCTGACTGTTTTTCTGTAGTTTTGCATTTGGCTAGGTCAGAGTCACTACTGGAAGCATGAGGCCATACCTGGACCCTACAGAGGTTGCTCAGGCAGTCCAACTCCTCCAGGATGGCACATCTATACATGTCATTGCCAGAAGGTTTGCTGGGTCTCCCAGCACAGTCTCAAGAGCATGGAGGAGATTCCATGGGGACAGGCACTCAGGCTATCCTGAGACTCCCTCTCCATATTGGCTGAGACAAGCAGGAGCCATTGGCTTCCACTTCTGTCTATCACAGCCAGTGAGAAGAGAGAAGGGGTGTGGTTTATCCACAGCTCTGTGTGTGAATGGACATACAGAGCAGCAGGTGCTCCTATAGCAAACTGCTTGCTGTAAGGGCACCCTACAGGAGAGAGGGGCCAAAAGCGCCAGCGGGGGACCCGAGAAGAGGAGGATCCAGGCTGCTCTGTGCAGAACCACTGCACAGATCAGGTAAGTATAGATAGTTTATTTTGAAAAAAAAAAATTAGGCCTTTAGAACCACTTAAGAGTTATCTTCACTGGAACTAGGGGAGCCATGCCCAACCCCTGAAAAACAACCACACCATAATCCCCCTCCACCAAACTTTACACTTGGAACAATGCAGTCAGGAAAGTACCAGTCTTTTGGCAACTGCCAAACCCAGACATGTCCATTGGATTGCTAGAGAAGCATGATTCGTCACTCCAGAGAACACGCCTCCACTGCTCTAGAGTCCAGTGGCGGCATGCTTTACACCACTGCATCCGATGGTTTGCATTGCACTTGATGTAAAGCTTTGATGCAGCTGCTCAGCCATGGAAACCCATTCTGTGAAGCTCTCTACGCACTGTTGTGCTGATCTGAAGGCCACATGAAGTTTAGCTATTGACTTTGCAGACAGTTGGAGACTTCTGCGTGCTTCAGCATGCACTGACCCCACTCTGTCATTTTACATGGCCTACCACTTGGTAGCTGAGTTGCTGCTGTTCCCAGTTGCATCCACTTTGTTATAATACCACTAGCAGTTGACTGGAATTTTTAGCAGCAAGGAAATGTCTTGGATGGACCTATTGCACAGGTGACAACCTATCACGTTACCATGCTTGAATTCACTGAGCTCCTGAGAGCGACCCATTCTTTCACAAATATTTGTAGAAGCAGTCTACAATCGGTGCTTGATTTTATACACCTGTGGCCATGGAGGTGATTGGAACACCTGAATCTAATTATGTGGAGGGCTATCCAAATACTTTGGCCATATAATGTGTGTGTGTGTGTGTATATTTCTGTCATATACTTCTGTCATTATATATTTCATTTAAATAAAAATAGAGTTTTAGGCAGGGACAGCAGGAGTCCCCATATCATTTTTCAGAACCTCCCACAATGAGTTGATTTGGAAACATGAAATGTAGTTTTGGAACACATTTGAATGCTTCTGTACTTTATGAAAAGTGGTATCACAGTTTGTCCACTAGAGGTCAGTATTTTATCAACATGAAATTTGTTTTCAGGTTTGCACTGCATATAATTTATTCTAATGATAAATGCTGTACTTATTTTTAGCTTTAGTTAGAAAGTTGTTTCAGGAAACACATTTTTTGTAGATGTTACTGACAAACCCACATCCCATCTTTTTCCTATTAGGTTTACCTTGAAAGACTTTTGACTTATGCTGAAATTGATATATGCCCCAGTAACTGGAAAAGAATTGTACTGGGAGCAATCTTGCTGGCTTCTAAAGTTTGGGATGATCAGGCTGTGTGGAATGTGGACTACTGCCAGATACTAAAGGATATTACTGTAGAAGACATGTGAGTTGGCTGTACATTTAATTTTTGTCTGACTGCTTAAATAAGTTTGATTTGTTAATTACAGTTTGCTTAAATAAGTTTGATTTGTTAATTACAGTTGGGCTCCATTCACACTTGTACAATTTTTCCTTGTGACTTTACAGAGCGACTTGCTGCAACTGTAGATGAGTGCGACTTTGGCTTTGTGCTCTACAAGGTTGCACACAAGTTGCATGTATATCACTCAAGTGCAACTTTCATGCGATTTTGAAGGGTTTACATTAAAGTCTATGGCCCTTTAAGTCGCATGAAAGTCGAACCAAAGTAGTGCAGAAAACTTTTAAGCTACTGCGACTTGAAGTTGCACAGATATGAATGGTACTTATTGGGAAACATGGGGTGCGACTTAGGGGTCCAAGTTGCACAGGTTGGAATGGGCTCTAACTGAATATAGAATTTTTTTTTTTGTTAATATTTTCTTATGTTTGCACTTCATGCAGCCAGTTATGGACTTTTATTAGAAAGTCCAGTATCCTTTATGAACTAAATGTCAGTGATGCTCCCTGTGATCAATATTTGTTATCTATAGATGGTATAGAAGATTATCTAAAATAAGATGATTTAATAATCCTTAAAATATTGTGTAGCTCCACTTCGACTTTGTCATGTGAAAATGATGGATTCTGCTTGCAGTCTTAAAGTGTACATTCACCTCTTCAAAATAAACTAATAAATAAAAGGTGAACTAACACCCTACACCCCCCCAACTCCCTGGTCCCTGCTGTATTTTAAAGTGTTACTAAATCCACAACAGTTAAATTAGTCTGTTAGATGCAGTAAAGCATGCCTGTTGTACTCACTGTGGAACCTAAGGGGTTAATCTTCTGCTTTGTGTAAGAATGCTGTTTGATCCTGACTTCTCTGATCTTCCCCTTCTTTTGCTGTCCCCAATCCATCTGCCATAGTTAGAGCAGCAGTGGAAAGTCTACAACTCCGTTTGGTGTGTGTGTATTGCTAGACTTTTTTTTTTTTATTTTGAAGCGTGCATGCGATTAGTGTAGGGTCAATCGGCGCTATCTAGACAGTCAGGGATGTTATGCAGCCTCATAGGACAGTCAGAGGAGAATGAAAACTCCTCCTACAAGATTAACCAATGCTCAGCTGGACACTGGTAGAAGTCACAAGACGGCTGTACGCGGCTAAAGAGAGAAGGTATTTAGAACTTTATATTTACTAAAATAATTGCATTTCCGTGTACTGTGGAAGACCGGATATAGTGAATGCGGGGTCATTGGTTTAGTAACACTTTACCACTATGGGTGATAAGCTGTCAGTGCCCACCCAGCTGATGTAGCTGCCTAGGAATTTGAAACCAAGCTCTTCACTCTCTCTTCTTTCTGTGGCGCTTCTGAGACGAATCAAGCTATTCTGATTGGTCAGTGCCGCTGCAGAGAAGGCACTCCCTAGTCCAATAATACTTTAGGTTTTACTAAATAGTACATGCTGCAGAGTTGACAGCACCTGCAGTACACACATTGGTTGCTCACAAGTGATAGTTTACCCTTGGTACACACTTTGATCTTTTCCCAGTGAGGTATTACCCCAGCATGCACATGGTTTGTGGTTCCCATAATCTACCACACAAATTGCATGTTGGACAGTCTTCCCTTCTGTCAGTGTTTACTAAGCCTTTACACAAAGTGTAGAGGTTCAGTTGTATCCCCCTTTTCTCCAAATGGTATGCTTCCCATTGCCTTTCCAGTAGAGGGCTGTATTTCATTTCTATTTTATAGCAAAGCAATTTTAAACAGGAGCAGTGAGACACATTTTAATAAATTACCGCAGCTGGATTCATAATTGTGTTTTTTTTTTTTTTTTTTTTTTTTTTTTTCTTCCCATCAGCTGCTTCAAGGGTCCATTCATATCCAGTGTGGTGGGACTGCGTTGGGCAGCTCTGTTCCACTGGAAGACTAGGCAAAATTCCTTGTCTACTATGTTCAGGCGGTGTGCTGATACTTGTTTGCTGATAAAATTACTTTTTTTTCTTCTTTTCCCCCAGCTCAGAACAGTGCAAGGCAATTCACTGCCTTGCACCACACAGCGGCCAGTAGGACTTAATAAAGTGTCACTGTGGGTGCAATTGGTTGCTTATTTGATTCAGACATGTCACTACTTCATAAGAACCATGTATACCTGCACTAATGATGCCTAACAAGACTGAAACCACTTTATGCAGTTTGAAATAAATGGTACTATAATAGGCTGTATCTGTGCTGGAAATAGGCACATCTCCATTCACAGTTGGCCAGATGGGACATAAATGGTTTGAACTGCTCCACTCTATATATAAAAAAAAAAGAGGAGTAATAACCACCTTTATGGGATTCGTGATGGTTTGAGACGTGCTGATACTTTTTGATCCCAGAAGGCTTTTCTATGCTTTGCATTGGTTCAGTGGAGACTTCTTGATTTTTTTTTTTTTTTTTTTTTTAGTTTATCTTTGTTCACTTTGCAATTGATGACAATCAACAAGAGCCAGGAACAGCAGTAGGCAATATAAAATAAATGATGCCATAATATTCTCCCCTTAATGACTAAGGTTAAACAAACCTTATCTCTTTCATTGCCAAGGAGATGAGGCTTAAGTTAGAAAGTAAATATTTGCAGTTTGCCATTCCAGGCATAGCCAGAAATATTGGTACCCTGCAATTCTGTCAGATAATGCTTCACCCAGAAAATTGTTGCATTTACAAATGTTTAGGCATTCTCATGTTTATTTCTTTTGTTTGTATTGTTATTACACAAAAAAGTGGAGAAACAAAAATCTGACACATTCCATGCAAAACTCCAAAAATGGACTGGACAAAATTTTTGGCACCAACACATTAAAAGCTCATTCGCACCAGCAGGCACTTGTATTAGTGTGCATAACCTGTGCCTGCTGATGTGCATCATGCATATCGCGCTGCAGTTGTTGGCTACAATGCATCATAATGCTTGATATTTTTTTCCCCTTGATTTAATTTTTTTAAATTGTAATGCAAAAGTTGGAGTGCAGAACCTAGCAGCAAAAGGTTTCAGTTCTGAAACCAGTTTTGCAACTTTGGCATGTATTTGTAAAACTGTACAAATCTTTGCAACTATATAGTGTAGCCATAAGTTTGTGAAGGTTTGTTTGTTTTTTTTTATGGATGTACAGATGGGCATAGTGGCATACCAGTTACTCCCCTCATATTTTTCTTTTTTTTTTTTTTCTTTTTCCATTTTTTTTAATATGCAATAAGACATAAACATACCTTCTATCCTTCTATTTTAGAGCATGTGCATTGGTGTTCTTTCCAGCACTTTTTTTTTTTTTTTTTTTTTTTACTGAAAACTTTTGTTTGAAAATAAAGATTACATGTACAAAAACAAGGAAGTAAGAACAAGGAAAAACATGCATAGGGGTTTTAGTTACAGTTGCATCATGGCTAACACTAGCTTCCATATAGGTGGAAAACAAGAATCTCCATGTGCCTAAACTCCATGTGCAGTAAAGTGTAAGCATAACAATACAACAAACATAATTAAAGTAATAAAAGGGAAGGGAAAATACAAAACTCCCATCAACCGCTCTGGTAGGTAAGGAATTTATCGCAGGGACTAGCTGGCAGGTCCGAATCAAATGCAGACACACTAGGGTTGAAATTTAGATGGCTTATAGCTTCAGGTAGTCAGGGGCTTACATAAAAGTGCTCTGGGAGCCAGTGGTGTTTGGGATTCCGGAAACCCCTACCCCTTAGGATTTGGAAGGTCCCAAAGGAGGAGGCCACGACATCCCCAAGGACCCTGAGGACCCAGAGATTTAGTGAATCCATGTAGCACAGATGGAGTAAAACTTGCTAAGGTGGTCTTTTTATGTAGCTATCCATTCCTCTGCCTCCATTACAGTGTTACACCCCGGTCAAATCAAGCCCGACTTTGAAATCGTGCGACTTTGCAAGATTTTGAAGCTGGGTGAAATGCCGATTTAAGGTGCGATTTGCAATACATCTGACCACAGATGTCTATGCAAATTCCACCAAAATTAGTGCATGTACTACTTTTAGATATTGGTGCGGCTACGACCAAGTCAGAACCGCAGCGATATGACTGCTCTAATTGCGGACATAACGTTCAGATCACATACCAAGTCGCACCCAATGTGACTGGGGTGCTAACCAGTTTAATACACTCAGCACGAGTACGTCTTTCCAGCACTTTTAAATGCAAGTTACATGCAGGTCACCAAATCGCCATGGGCTTCAATGAAACACTACATTTGACAATTCAGAGGCTGAGTCTGACCCGATTTGAGCTACATTGCATTTCTTTGGACAAAACATGTCTTATTAAGGTGCATTTGAACTATATGTGAAGCAGGTGAAAGGCAACCCCCCCCCCCCCCTTTTTAGCCCACCTCACTAGACTGTTGAGTTATACTTTTTTGTTCCCCCAAGCCCTACAAAGAAGACATGGAGGCATTTACGAAAACTGGAGTGTGCAAAATCTGGTGCAGCGCAGCATAGATTCCAGACATCTTCCAGGTTTTATCCAGGTTTTATCCAGGTTTTATTATCAAAGCTTAATTCAACAAGTTGATTGGCTACCATGCATGGCTGCACCAGATTCTGAGAGCTCCAGTTTTAGTAAATCTCCCACATAGTGTTTCTTTGTACTGTGCTGATGGTGGCAAGAGTTTTGTGTGCCTCCATTCAGTATCCTAAAATTAAGAAAATTCATTGTTTTTGGAATTTGTGGTGGAATGAGACTTATTTAATTCTCTTTTGTTTAAAAAAAAAAAGGTTTTGTTGTACTTTATTGCTTTTAAGAAAATATCTGTAAGTTCTATGTTACCTATGTTGGAAGAGGAGGGTGGGATGGTTTATGTGCGAGTGTATCGCAGTATTGTGTTTAGTGGGGAAATATGTGTGTGTGTGTGTGTGTGTGTGTGTGTGTGTGTGTGTGTGTGCGTCCGCATTTAGTCTTAAAACCTGTCCGCT